AACAATTTAACACATTTTAAAGTGCGGTGATCGTCGTGCAGTGCGTGTTTGAATTTCATGTAAATAAACAATGTATTTTACACCTGTTGTATCTGTCGCAGAACGTGGCACAATGACTGTCGCCCTTTAAACATTTACTCACTGAATCTACCAATAAAACCATAGTCTGGTAGAAATATAGAAATTTCAAAAGAAAGGTGCACATAATCTTTTCTATATTATCTCAATTTATTCTACATTTTTAAAAAATAAAGTGCTGTATCCTGGTAATTTCTTAATTTGACTCTTGGGTATTTTACTTAACAGTCATTTGAGTGCGTGACTTCATCAAACGTAACAATAATTTTAATTAATGTGAAGTATAGGCTTTCAGAAAAAATACGGTTTGATATGATTTAATAAACACAAATTTTGCATGATTTTGACTTCCTGGAACAAGTCTACAAGCGTATGCTATGCACTAAGGACAACAAGTTGCATTGTGTACTAGGAGGAAGTAGAGAAATAAATCAATACTCACTCAGGGTAGTCACTGATGATTGCAACTTTTCACACTGGTAGGCGTCGAACGGTTATATCAAAATTTAAGTGTACGTGTCAGGTGGAATCCTTACGCTGTCCTTGTAATTGTGATGAAGCTGAGACAAACGATACTTCATCCAAGTCAGATTGTAGACTTACGTAGGTACACCTATGTGCTCGGAGATCTCTATTGTTATGTTAATTAGGGCATGTTTTCTTTTTCTTGAGTTACTGGACTTACTGCCACCATACACTTAAGATACGCATGAGAAGAATAAATAAGCTCGTTGATCTATTTTATGAGTTTGTAGTAATTGTAATGTTTGTTTTGCATTGTTAGTATAAACAAGTTTTGAGATACCGGTGATATTTTTTCTTGACAAAGCTAGACTACACATTTTCTTCAGTAAGCTCTTATTGGTCACATGTCTTTGTAAACGGTGAAAAAATTCGACTCAAAGGGTTTTAATAATGTCTCACAAAGTGTATGGAATAGTACTGTTTTATGTGGTCATTCCATTTCCTGAAAAAATCAGTTTTCATATTGAATTCCACATGTAGTCCTAAATCATTTATTAAATACTGAACAAATTTTAATTGTCTTTTTTTTTTTTTTTTTTTTTTTTTAAGTTTTGTTTTTTAGTGAAAAATAATTATTAAAAGTCACATGAACAGATAGAAAGTACAATATTGTTAAATTGGATTTAGTTTTTTTTAGTTTTGTTTTCACCATAACAACATCATTACATTCAATATGATTGGACTACTACACATATTTATTGTAGTACTGTACTTCATATCCTTTTTGTGTACAGTTATTGCATCTGTGTATTACTGTGTACCGGTATTAGTCACAATTAATGTAGTACTCAACCATTCTTTGTTTCTTTTTTTTACAGTTATCGTGTCTGTGAATTGCTGTATGATAAACGAAGAGAATATTACAAAATCCTGGATTGTTACTTGAAAGATGCTTATCGACAGGTATTTATATCCGCTATTTAGCTAGATTATTTTAAGCAGGGTTTCACAACGGGGGAATTGTGTTGTTTATAGAACAACAATTGTTCTTTTGTTTACCATGCTTTTCAGCAGGATGTCTCATGACCTTTTCAGGATGTGTGTGTGACCTTAAAACGTCTTCCAGGGACCAAGAGGATGTGTGACCTTTGTAGTATATGTGAATGTAAATCCTATGTAAAAGCGTAGTCAGTTTTATTGGGGACCTTAACTTTTTGAGTGCCATATTTTTCCAACCCAAATAATTGGGTACAATATATTTGTATATATTTACCGGTATGTGTTTTTCTCTAATGTCCTTGTTTATTTTCAACAAATTGGACAAATTTCAATCCAACTTAATATATGAAGGTTAGTTTTGACTGATGTTAATTTTCACAGTTGATTTTACATGCTAACTACATTAAATTCCAACCTAATTATTTTGTCCCCGTTCAGAAGCAATCCGAAAACTTATAATTGACTTTTATATTAGTGTGTACATCTATTTGTGTGTGTGTCTATCCATCCATTCGGACCGACCCAGGTATATCTCAGACATGCCTTGGCCAACCACATTCAAACCTTCACACACACCTCATATACGTTATTAGTCCCCGTTCGGACGTAGTCCGAAAACGGGGACTCATGTTTTGCCCTGTGTGCGTCCGTGCATCCGTGATCACCTGTATCTCGAACATGCATGGACCAATTAAGTTCAAACTTCACTCATATATCACACATTATATGGGACATATGCACATGCATTTTTTTCATGATCCGATTAACGATAGCCAAATAGCGGCCATTTTAAGGCCGAAAATGCATCAAAATTGCACATTTTCACCATTCCGGACCCGGATCTCAGTTATGCATGGACGGATTTTGTTCAAATTTGGTACATACATTAAACATAATAGGACCTTGATGCACATCATTTTTTTTTCCCGGATCAAGTTCAAAATGGTCGACTGGCGGCCATTTTGTTTTAAAGAATTCAGTTCTGGATCCGTATCTGAGACATGCCTGGATTGATCGAGTTCAAACTTAACACACACAAGGTACATCATGTCACAAATATGTATGTGCATTTGTTTCATGATCTCATTAACGATAGCCAAATGGCGGCTGCTTTAAGGCCGAAAATGCATTGAAATCGCACATTTTCACCATTCCGGTCCCGGATCTCAATTATGCATGGACGGATTTTGTTCAAATTTGGTACATACATTAAACATAATAGGACCTTGATGCACGTCATTTTTTTTTTTTCGGATCCAGTTCGAAATG